AGGAGGCTGAGATCTGAGGATCGCGGTTCAAAGCCAGCCCGGGCAGGAGAGACCGTGAGACTCCTATCTCCAATAAACCACCAGAAAACTGGAAGTGGCACTGTAGCTCAAGTGGTAAAGCGCTTGCCTTGAGCTGAAGAGCTGAGGGACAGCGCCCAGGCCCAGAGTTCAAGCCCCACGACCGACAAAAAAAAACAAAACAACAAAAAAACCCCCACAAGACCCTATCTCAAAAAGGGCTGGGGCATGACTCAAGCGGTAGAGCACATAGGCTGTGAGTTCAAACACCAGTACCACTCCCCACTCCCCAAAATTACTCTGTTGATGTTGCAGACTGAAGAGGTGTGGGGATTTCTCTAGCCCATCTGGGAAATGCTTGGCCCATCTGAGCCGGATTCCCTTGGCTTGTTCCACAGGCAGTTATTTACTTATTTTTGTCAGTCGTGGGGCTTGAACTATGGGCTTGGACACTGTCCTTCTGCTCTTCAGCTCAAGGTGAGCGCTCTACCACTCGAGCCACAGCGTCACTTCTGGTTTTCTAGTGGTTGATTGGAGATAAGAGTCTCACACTTTCCTGCCCTGGCTGGCTTTGAACTGTGATCATCAGATCTCAGCCTCCTGAGTAGCTAGGATTACAGATGTGAGCCACTGGTGCCCAGTGTAAGCAGTTATTTTTATATCGATGGATCACCGTGATTTTGAGTTAGGTGCACAGCTGTGTGCTGCAGGGCTTTTGAAGGGATGAGGGCTCCTGCTGCACATGGGCCCCGGGTGCCAAGTTCTCCCTGTTGCGCATAGCAGGCCGATGCTGGATGTGCAGGTGTTGCGGCCCACTTTCTGGCTTTTCCCTCCTCTCTCCTCTGAGAAGACTTGTCCATTCTCCAGGGCCCAGTGCTCTCACATGCTGGCTTTCCCTCAAGACAGAATACAGACCTTCCTTCTGATAGACTCTGGGGCCAAGTGCCAGCCTGGCACAGGAATGAATCAGATCAGAGACATGCTGACTGGATGCCAGGAAATTAGCCATCCTTGGGGACTGTCCTTGGGGCTGGGTGACTGGGCACCTCAGACCCAGGCCTCTCTTAGGAATCCAGCTGCCAGTGGGGCGGGGGGGGGGAAGGGGAGGAGTCAAGGGGTGGACGGTGGACGGCAGACACATGGCAGCCCAAGGATGGTGCTGCTGGGAGCCCTCCAGTGTCCAGTCCAGTCACCTGCAGTGCACTGACTGCATCCTGCACTTACACAGACCTGGCCACCTGGGAGCTGGACACAGGGTCATGCTGTGCCTCGCTGCAGTACCCCCAGGGCCTGCGGTTGGTGGTCCACCCCTGTCAGCCCTGGTGTGGGTGTCTGAGGTAACAGAGTCCTTCCTGAGCCTGAGCTGCAGATCGAGTGCCCCAGTGAGGGCCCCAGTGAGTGATGCAGGACCAGGGACAAGGCGAGCATTCTGCCCTTGTACCTCTTACTGCCTCTTCAATGGGGCTCGGGCAGGATCTCAGGTCAGGCTCACTCCTTCCCCTTCTCCTTTTGCTCTTCTTGGCTTTACATAGTCTTTATTTTCTTCAGCGCTTTTCCCCTAATTAATCTGATGTTTTGGCATTGGTTGGGATCCAGGTGGAGAACAAACGAAGTGTATGGGAAGAGTTGGTGGCCCAGGGTGCTGACAGGACTGAGAGGATGGGGCAGCATTGGCCAACAGCCACCTTGGTGGCAGGGCATGAAGGGCTAAGGCCTTGAGAGGTCTCACAGCCTGGGATTGTCTTGTGGCCACCTGTGCTGGAGTCCGGCTGCAGGAGCCTGGTGATATCTTGTATAGAGGTCAGCTCTGGGACCCAGGCAGCGATTGGGAGCATCAGCAGTCTCGGAGGTCCACGGAGGGTGGGTATGGAGATCTGTGGAGCATAGTTAGGTGTATCGAGACTACCTCACACTCCTGGGCTTTCAGAAGGCTCTGTGCTCCTTCCTGCCTAGCCGACAGTGCTCCTGCTCTCCTTGCTGAGCCTGCAGCGGCACCCCAGGGTGTGGTGCTTGGCTCTTCCTGCCCTTTGTGAGATCCATGGAGCAGTCCCCTTCCCTCAGCCTTGTAAGATGTTGGGTCCTGGGAGAGGCTCTGTGCTCACTCTCGTGCACGTGCTCCCAGCTCCTGGAGCCTTCCCCAGGCTTCCACATGCGGCCGCCTCAGTGTCAGCAAGGGTGGCGCTTTGAGGCTTTCAGAGCCCTCAGAGGACCCCAGAATCTATTCACAACAGAGCGGCAGTGTGTGCAAGCATGTCCGTGTGTGACTGTCACACGCAAGTGCAAAATGGAAGACATGGTGTTTCCTCTAAACTACAGCCAGATTTGTGAGAGAAATGTCCCCAACATACCCAGAATGAGCTTGTCATAAGACACAGTGTGTGCTGTGGGTATCTGCTGCCCTGCGCTGTGCGGCTTATCAGGCCCAGCCTCAGTGCTAACTGGAGAGGGGAGGATGGCAGAGGCTCACCAGGCCCAGCCTTGGTGTTGACCGGAAAGGCAGGGTGGCAGAAGCTCTCCAGGCCAAGCCTCAGTGCTGACCGGAGAGGTCAGGGTGGCAGAAGCTCTCTAGGCCAAGCCTCAGTGCTGACCAGAGAGGGTAGGGTGGCAGAGGCTCGGAGCTTGTCTCTGGCCCTGCTGTGCCATGATGCAGGTTTGTGTATTTGCCAGAGTGAGGTTGAGGCAGCTCACTTTCCAGGTGGCTGAGGCACGGGGCGTGTACAGGCCTGGCAGGGGCTGGCAGGCACTGAAGGCTCCTCTGTGACCTCCTCCCTGTCTCTCTGCTCCTCACTGTATGTAGATTTTTCATTTGGATCAAAATGAAGCTTGGAATGTTCTGGACCCACAGTATGAGATGTGAGCTTGAGGGCCTGGGCGTAGCATGGCCAGTCTGGCCTCCTCAGTGTCTTATCCTCGTGACCGGAGTCAGGAACTTCCAGCAGTAAAAGCCCGATGTGTTGAGTGTATAACCCAGACCCACCCAGTTCAGGCTTGGGTTCGAGGACCAAGGTTTGAAGCCAGCCTGGGTAGAAAATTATACAAGATTGTTATCTCGAATTAACCAACAAAGAAGTTGAATGGGGAGGAGAGAGAGAGGGGGAGAGAAAGAGAGAGAGAGAGAGACAGACAGACAGACAGAGAGACAGACAGAGACAGAGAGCACACAAGCGGGGCATACGTGCCACGTGTTTTATACTGTCCCCAGATGGTTGGTTTGCTCAGATGTTCCGGGCAGGTGACCAGGTAGACTTCCTGTGGTCTCTGTTTGGGCTTGTCAGTTCTGCCACTGCAGCCTCAGGGCAGTCTTAGAAAGTATGTAAGCTGGTCAACACAGCCATGTCCTAATAGAACTTTATTTATACAAGGAGGCAGTGGGCTAGGCCATGCTGCGGTTCCTGACTCCTGACAAAGAGTGTGTGCAGAGTTCTTGAAATCAGATTATTGCCTACAACTTTTATTTAACTACAGACTACACAGTAAATTCATAGTTAATCTTGAAATAGGACCGAAGAGAGAAGTATCACCATCCTAAAACATAGCTGGGAGCCTCCCCGAACATTCATCTTGAAACAGCGTCCAGTGCTTCCTGGAGCTGTTTTATCGTCCCATTTCTTTTCACACTGCCATCTTGTAATAGAAATGTGTTATCCAGAAGCTGATGCAGACAGAGTACCTTTAAAGTTGCCTTGGGGACCTCTGTCAGGAAGTACGGTGCCTGGGGCACAGCCAGCGGCTCTGTTGCATCTGGCAGCACAGCCTGGGCCATCAGCGCCCTGTTCAGAGAGTAACTTCAGCCTGGGAAGAGGAGCGTGGCTGCAGGGAGCTGTCTGAGGACCCACAAGAGGCTGGGTGCTCATTAAGGAGCAGGCACTCAGCACTCGTGGGGCGGTGGTTCTTCTTCAGCACCACAGGAAGGAGGGAAGCCCAGAGAAAGAAAGTATGGTGTTTGCTTTGTTTCCTGCAGGTTTAAGTTCATTATAGAATTCGACTCAGGACTCCAGTGTTCCTTGAAAGGCTGCGGGTGCCCTCTGCTGGACACTTTTAGCCAGAGGCTGAGGATACAGCCTCCATCCCCCTGGCTGGAGACCCTGGGCACAGAGATGGGACTGGATGCCAGCAACAGTGACAGCAGTGGTGATCTGAGTCGCCCACAGTCTGTGCGGAGGCTCTGCCCACTCTGGCTGACTCCTGGATGCTGGCTGATGGTGCCTCCATGTTGTGTAGACAGCAGAGAAGGATGGGAAGTTGGCCAAGGCCATAGAGCTGACTGGAGGCAGATGGCAGCTGAGCTTACCCTGCTGTCCTGGGAGACCCCTGCTTCTCCCTTCCCAGCAGGCGCCACATGAATCCCTGCTTCTCCCTTCCTGGCAGGTGCTACATGAACCCCTAATTGATGAGGACCCTGTGTTCATCGCGACATGCACCGAGCGAGAGCTACGAAAGAGGAAAAAGCGGAAATTCAGCCTGTGGGTCCGGCAGTGCTCTGCCACGGGCTTCATCATCCAGGTGAGCTGGGTGTGCAGGGCTTTGGGGGGCACTGGCTGGGCCTGGCCTGTTCCTCTGCTCTCTTCCTGTCCACTGACACCCTCTGGGTGGACAGGAGCCACAGAAACTCAGGTGTCCCCAGACAGAGGCCTTCCCTGTGCGTGTGCCTCCCCACGGCTGCACAGGGCCTTGGGCTGGGTGCCTGGCGCCAGCCCATAAGGCCGCCTGGCCCACCGTCTTGTACCAACCAGTTCCTTCCTCATAGCCACCAGCAGCGAGCTGGGAAATCAAGTCACCATAGTGGACAGTGGCAGCGGTGCGGGTATGCGTTGCAGCTCCTACAGATGAGAGCACGCATGTGGTGTGATTCTTCAGGACCCCCTTTGGGGCAAGGGGTGCCTTTGGCACCCAGCAGCTGAGGGTGGCTACATATTGCACTAGGGCTGACCCCGGCAGCCGAGTGAGGGGCAGTGGCTGTTGTAGGCATTCCTGGTAGCCGATGTCAGGGTTCTGGCCCTAATGTCAGCCAGTAGTCCCTGTGGAGGAAACTTGACTAGCCTGGTGCTTCCCCGAGTTAGATCCTTTGGCTGGAACTTTGAGGCCACGCTTTTATGTGCCTTAAGTGTAGACCCTCTGGGGTTTACCGTAAAAACCGGTTGCTTTTTGTCATCAGTGACCAAGTTTGGTGGTCTTTGGCCTTGTCCTGGTGCTGCTTTCTGATTACAGCTTTGCTTTGGCTTCCTGGTAGAACCGGGGTGGCAGGCTCAGCAGCTCTGTGGTGTGGCCTTTGATGTCCAGACCTTCCCACAGTCCACTGCTTGTAAGGACAGGACAGCTGTATTTGTCAAGTGATGCCACAGTCATCTGGTGGGACAGGTTCTAGGTTGATGGCTGTTGCGTGTTCTCGACGGGGCACAGCGTGGTGTTTCTCCCAGGAGCACGTTGGTGGCCCAGCATGCTTAGTTCTGTGTAGACATAGGGCCATTGCTGTCCTACAGGGTCATCCTGGTCTGCAGTTAGGGCGGGCACAGGGAGCTAAAGGCACTGGTGAGCAGCCCCTGCAGAGGCTGTGGACCGTTCCAGAGCGGCTGCTCTAGGATACTAGTCAGTGTCACTGGGAGTTTCTTCCTGGCTGTCCATAGGTAGGGCTGGGCTGGGTGTTCAGAAAGTCTCTTTCCCGGTCTGCTCCTTTGGTGGCAGTCATGGAGGCAGCAGAATGGCAGTGAGGGATTGTACAGCCTGCCCCCCGGGTGGATGCAGAGAACAAAACAGTCGTGGGGGCATACATGGGTGCACCCCAACTTGTAAGGGGGCTTGGCATCTGTCCATGGTGAAGGTAGGCCTGCCTCTGGCTGAGGACCAGGATTGGGGAGGTGTCGATCCCCACATACTGGTCTGTTACCTGTCACTGCTTTTCCTTCTGTGCCTTGATTTTTTTCCAAAAGGATGCGTCTGGGCCGAGCCCTCGGCTGCTTGGGCTGGGTTGGGGGGGGGGGTTGGCGACCATAGGGGACTGCGGGGTCTGGGGAGACCGGGGTACTTTCCCAGGCTTCAGACCAGGATGGAAGCACACACACCCTGTAGCTTGGACTCCAGCATGTTGCTGCTGCAAGTGCCCTGACCTTGGTGTGTTTCTCTCTAAGATTTACGTTCACCTGAAGGAAGGAGGGGGTCCAGATGGCCTGGACACACTGAAGAACAAGCCCCAGCTCCACGGCATGGTGGCCAGGAGTCTGTGCCGGAATGCGGCCGGCAAGAACTACATCATCTTCACAGGGCCCAGCATCACCAGCCTCACCCTGTTTGAAGAGTTTGAGAAGCAAGGTTTGCTGAATGGCTGTGGAGTGACAGGGAGTGGGGGAGGAGGCGGCGTGGCTAGCACAGGCTCCACTGGGTAGTGATGATGGAAAGCACAGGCCCCGCTGGGTGGTGACGATGGGAAGCACAGGTTGGTCCTGGGCACTACTGGCACAGAGCTCTGACCAGTCCTCCCCCACCCTGCCCCGTGTTCCTTGGTCTCAGGCTGAGACTGAGTGGGGCCCCAGGCTTCACCCTAGTGAGGCCCTTGCAGGTAGGTGCGTGAACCGTCTTCTTCTCCCATGAGCTACCTTGGCTGGAGGGAAATGTGTATGCTCAGAATAACCCAGTGACCTCAGAATAGCCTTGGGCCCCCAAGGGCCTGGTGCTTTCTATGTCTGCAGAGACTGAGCCTGGCCCAGTGGAGGCAGCCTGGGCAGGCTGTGGCTCCCTTGGCTTCTCCCTGAGCTGAGGAGTACCCTGTCCTCTGGGAGCCCAGCCAGGGCCTATGCTATCCAGCCATCACCCTTAATTGCGTGCATTTTGCTTATTTGGGGAGCGAGTGTCTGGCTATAGCACAGGCTCTCGGCAGGCCTCCTGGGGCTGGGCCGGGCCGGGCCGGGCTGTGCCCTGGTGGCCTGGCCCTCTCCCTGCCCAATCTCGTGTGTGTGTGACTCATCAGCCATCAGTGCTCGGTACTCGGGAGGGAGGTTGTGAGAAACGTTCTACTGTGTAGGAAGCAGCTCTTCGGAGGAGCCGTAAAGTGCGTGGGTGCCCTGTCCGTGTCCTGTGCTTGTCTGTGATGGTCCCGGGGGCCTCTCCATCCGCTGTACCAGGAGTCAGTAGAGCCTTCCAGGCTGAGTGTGTATTGCCGTGGAGTTGCTGCCTGGTGGATGGAGGCTCTGGAGCAGAGGACCAGGGTGCCCGAGCATGGCCTGAGCCCTCAAGAGCTGGGGTGCTGCACTAGGCCTCTGAAAGGAGCACATAGGACTCTAGGAGGAAGGGATGAGGGGTGTGAAATGACCTCACTGCCTGCTTGCAGAAGCGTCTCACCTCCCTCAGCTCCTTGCATGGAGTGCTGTGTGTCCTCTGCCATGACCAGGCGCATTGGTTTTTACTGTGCCACAGAGTACTGTGTGTCCTCTGCCATGACCAGGGGCGTTGGTTTCTGCTGTGCCCCGCTGAGGGACCACCAGGACTGGGCCCATTGCATCTTGGCCTCCTGCTGGCCTGGGGGCTTGACCAGCCTCGTAGCTTTTTCCTTAGTGTCCATGCATTGCCCTGATGATGCAGAGATTCCGGAAGCAGAGGGCTGCTAGATGCACTGCTGCTACAATGGCCTGTGGCCTCTGCCATGACCACCGTGTGTGTTACACATGCCTAGGACGTAGTGGTAAATGGTGGGGATTTGTAGCTGCTGCCAGCCAGGAGTCTGGAGGCCTCCCCCATCAGGCTCCAGGGCCTCACTGTAAGAAGCTTACATGACGGCTTCCCAATGCCAGGCATCTACTGCTGCGGCCTGCTCAGCTCCAGGAAGAGTGACTGCACTGGCCTCCCCCCGTCCATGCTGACTAACCCTGCCACCCCGCCAGCTCGGGGCCAGCACCAGATCAAGACCAAGGGGAACATGTCTCTCATCTGCTGGTACAACAAGGGCCACTTCCGCTTCCTGACCAACGCTTACTCCCCGGTGCAGCAGGGTGAGTGCCCTGAGCCCTGAACAGTGAGCACTGAATGCAGAGCCCTGAACTGTGAGCCCTGGGGACGGAGCCTCTCTGCTGCACCGATGTGCTTGTGGGAGATCCGCAGTCACCGGGGCAGGCAGATGTGCACGTGGTGCCTCAAGATTGACCAGTGGTAGCTACCACGTTTCACAGGTCTGGGTGTTCCCTCATGTCCATGACAGTGTTTTGGGGAACAATGGTGCTCCCCAACTTTGTTGCTCAGGCAGCCTCTGTACCCTTGTACCCCATCACCTTCCTCTGTAGTGCAGGTTCTAGTCCAGGCAAAGCTCTTGGGGGACCTGCAAGGCAGGTTCTGGTTTTTGTTCACTTGAATATTTGATAGTCCTTAAAATAATGCACAAGCCGTGGCCCTGACACGTGTGGGTACCTCAGGAAGGCTCTCAGGGGCACATATGACTTCCTGACACTGTGGTTGCTGGGGACAATGTCCTTCTCCATACCCCCAGTCTACAGAGGCTAGGGCAGCATGTGTGGTCGCCCGGCAGTGGCTGCAGTAGGGGTGAGGGGGGTATCGGCTCCCAGGCTCTGCGGGTGCAGTTTATGAGTTGTGCTGTGCTCTGCTGTGTTGGGTGAATTCGGTAAACGAGTGTGTGGAGATAGAAGTTGAAGTACACAGTGACCCAGCCCAGACCCCCAGCCCTCCACTCTGTCCCAGTCCCCCATCCCCATCCTGTCCTGGGCAGCCCAGCGGTGTTGTCTGTGGTACTGATCCAGCTCCCGTGTCCCCCACAGGGGTCATCGTCAAGAGGCGGAGTGGAGAGATCCCCTGCCCACTGGCCGTGGAGGCCTTTGCTGCCCACCTCAGCTACATCTGCAGATACGATGACAAGTACAGCAGGTGAGTGTAGGACTGTCCGTAGGGCACGGCAGGCACTGTGCTCAGGCAGACACTGCTCCACAGGCCTCGGTGGGTGCTGCCCACAGTACAGGTGCTAGTCTACAAGGAGGCACAGTGGGCGCAGTCCGCAGAGGGAGTGTTGGGCTACGGTGCAGTCATTACCCACAGGCAGTATGGTGGGTATTGATCCATGGTGGCATGGCAGTGGGCGTATGCAGGGCATCACCATTTGGATCCCCAGACTGAGATCTGAAGGGTGAAGGTGTATGTGATGGCTCTGTGCCCTTGGCTGCCACGCCTCTGTCTGCCAAGCTGCCCACCCTCCAGTCCACAGTCATGGGTGTCTCGGTACACGGATCAGCCCTCACCTGTGTCCCTTATTCCTCTGTCACCCAGTGTCCACCCAAGGCCCAGGGCCTTTGCCTTCAGACGCAGTGCCTAAGACCTCCATGGGCATGCATTGTGGGGGCACCGTATGTAGAGGGCACGGGTGGTACAGCGGCATGGCTCAGCTGTGGATGTTGTCCTGCTTCCGTCATACCCAGTGTCACAGTGGCCACCTGAGGCCTCCACCCCTGGGCCGGCCTTCCACCAGCAGAGCCAGGGTGCCTAGGTGCAGTTGGCACACTCTGGCCTACCGAGCACCCGTCACGAGGCTCTGGGGACAGTGGTGGGGCAGCTCTTCTCCGGGTGCACTGATGTCCTGAGCATACTGGGCACTAGCGCCTCGTGGGTGGTGCTTTCAGAGACAGAGACAGGGTTGTGTAGGCCACTGCAGGCTTGGCAGTCTCCCTGAGGGCAGTACTGTCCATCCACCAACCAGAGGGCGCAGAAGTAGAAGGGAGGCTGCAGAGAAGGGGCGCCCATAGGCACAGGGCTGGGGCAGCATGTGCCATGGGCAGCGTGCGCCATGGTTGTGGAGAAGGGCTGCAGAAAGCAAGGGCTCAGGCTAGTAGGCTCTGCAGGATCTGGGCTGGAGGCCCATATTGGGGACTCCTGCTATCCTCGTCCCTTGAGAGGTACTTCTTCTTTGGCCCCCCAGCTGGCACCCACCTTCCCCGAGCCCTTCCTACAGGAAAGTTTGCAGGCTCCCAAGCCAGGCCCTGCCCCAACCCCAAGCCCACCCTCTGGGACAGTCTGCAGGCCCAAGGCCGGCCGGGCCACATCAGCTGCCCCCTCTGCCCACAGGTACTTCATCTCCCACAAGCCGAACAAGACTTGGCAACAGGTGTTCTGGTTTGCCATCAGCATCGCCGTCAACAATGCCTACATTCTGTATAAGATGTCGGACGCCTACCACGTGAAGCGGTACAGCCGGGCGCAGTTTGGCGAGAGACTGGTCAGGGAGCTGCTGGGCCTGGAGGATGCCTCCCCCGGCCACTGAGGCCATGCGGCTGCCCGGGCGTGGCAGGAAGAGGAGGGAGCCTGCCCAGTGCCCGCCCTTGAGGCCTGTGTGTGGTCAGCATTGTTCAGATGTCACGTCCTCTGAGGGCCTTCGGGCTGCATGTGTAAGCTCTGCAGACCTGGGACTTGCGTCTGCAGCACGGTGCGCACTCCGTGTAGGTGACAGGGCTGTGGCCCGGGCTCCAAGCGGAGGCTGAGCGCACTGAGAAGCACTTCTGTGCAGACACTGATGCGGTCAGGCTCGTGCCTGCAAGACTGCACAGGGTGACGGTTTGGTACCCACATTTCCCTGGGCCAGCAGCTTAGCTGTTCTGGAAGCAGAAGCAGCCGGTGCCGATGCCTGGGACGTGGGCAAGCCGCCCGCACTGACCACTGGTTCTTCTCATTTCCTCCCTCAGGGCTGGCAGGCGGGCAGAGGGGACCTGCCGGGAGGGCAGCAAAGGTGATGCTATTTTTTATTTTTAAATATATCTTCAGGTTATTTTCTTACTGTTGCTTAAGGTCTACTGTCAAGGGGAGGTGCCCCCTACTCTCCCATCCCTCGCCTCTCCGCCCTTGCATGATCACAGTTCCGTGTCTGGCCTGTGGCGGGGTGGGAAGGGCCCCTGGCTTCTTGAGTGAATGTGCACAGCGCCGAGGCCTGGGAGCTGCAGAACTCCCTGTTGTGAGAAATGTGTTGCGTAGCTGAAACAAAACCCTCTGCTGAGGACCGTTTGCCAGTTGTCTTTTCTCAAAAGTGAAGTGACCCTACGATGACCCTGTGGCCCCTCAGAAAGGCGTGGGTGGCCGTGGGAGACCCTGGCCTGTGGCTCAGTGACCGCCTGGGTTGGCCGGGGCTGTCCTCGCTGACAAGCAGCCGTAACTTGAGGTAACTCCAGTGCAGCCACGCAGCCACCTCGTTTCTTCAGACGCAGAATCTGTTCGACTCAGGCTGACATTCCTCCCTCACCCCCCACCCCCTCAGTGTTGCTGGCCGCATGCCCCGGCTCCCTGTCATCCCTGCCCCCACTTCCTGCCCCAACTCTGTGTCATCCCCTCCCCGACTCCGTGTCATCCCCACCCCGACTCCTTGTCATCCCCATGCTGACTCCATGTCATCCCCACCCCGACTCCTTATTGTCCCTGACTCCGTGTCATCCCCTTCCCGACTCCGTGTTGTCCCCTCCCCTCTGTGTCATCTCCACCCCGACTCCGTGTCATCCCCTCTCTGACTTTGGTCATCCCCTCCCTGCCTCCATGTCATCCCCGCCCCAACTCAGTGTTGACCCCGCCCTCCGTGTCAACCCCGCCCTCCGTGTCAACCCCACCCCGGTTCACCACAAGGGACTGGCCTGTGGTGGGAGCCCAGCCACGGGCCACAGGCCAAAGCTTAGGTTGTGATTCAGACACCTTTGCTGTGCCCCTTAATCGGATTGAAAGCACTTTTACCACGTGAAGAAATATATTTTTAATTTGTGATGCTTTTCTACAGGGTCCACTATTTCTGAGTTAATGTGTTTCCAACACTTAGGGAGACTAATGAAGGCTGATGAGTTTTCTTTTCTGTCCAAACGAGTAAAATAAAAATAAGTCTATTTAGATGTTGATTCTTTGTTCATATGTGGGTTTGTTTCAAACCTCCGAGACAACTATTCTGAGACTTGATTTCCTATGGTGTGATCCGAATTCTGAAGTGCTGAGTGCTTGGTAAAGGCAGCTCATTTCCAACCTTCCTGTGCAGGAAGCAGAAGCCAGGCTCCCAGTGGCTCCCATGAGGGTGTGTTCGGGCCCCCTGTGCGCAGTGGCCTCTGGCTTCCACCTGCCCTCTGTGTCTGCATTCCTCCCTTCGCCTGGTGTGTGTCCCATTCTGCCCAAGCTCTGGCCCCACGCAGTGCTTGCTGCTCCCTTCCCTGCGGGAGAGGTCTGTGGACCTCTGAAGGAGCCGTGTCTCTGTCAGTGTCCCAGCTGCAGGATTTTCAGGCAGGGACCTTTTGCATGCATTTGGAGACTCGTGGAGAGGAAGGACTAGCCCATTCAGGGGCAAGGGCCAGAGTAAGGCTGGCAGAGGCCTTTTCTGTGGGCCTCCAGCCCTGCTCGCCTCACATCTGTGCTGCTGCACCAGCTGTGTGCTGTGTGTGGCTGTCCACACCCTCCGCCTTCACGCAGCCATGCCCACAGCCATAAAAAATTCACTCACTGGGCAGTGAGGGTTTAGCATTTTCATTGGTCCTCTCCTAGATGTGCTGTTTTAAAACCTCCCCTTGCCCTCTTGTGGGCTCCCCAAGCTGAGGGTGAGACCCAGCACGCCAGGTGTGTAAGGAGAGTCTGGGGAGGCAGTAGGGTGGCATGCTCTCTCGTCTGAGGCGTGTCTTCTGGTCACTGACTCCTCACCATGATGCACTGCGACAATGTGTCATTTACGGTATCATATGGTATCTCACTGTGACATTTTTATTGTCTCACTTCTTGTGGTATAGTGTGACATTTTATGGTATGATTTGTGGTAGTGTGACATTTTTATGGTATGATTTGTGGTATAGTATGACATTTTATGGTATTATATGATGTCTCATGGTATATGACATTTTTGTGGGATAGTGTGACATTTTTATGGTATGATTTGTGGTAGAGAGTGACATTTTTATGGTATGATTTGTGGTATAGTGTCACATTTTATGGTATCATAGGTGACATTTTATGGTATAGTGTGACAGTTTATGGTATCATAGTGGGATATTTTATAGTATGATTTGTAGTGTATTGTGTCATTTTATGTATAGTGTGACAGTTTATGGTATCAGAGTGTGATATTTTATGGTATCACAGTGAGACAGTTTATGGTATCACAATGTGACATGGTATCACAGACAGTTTATGGTATCACAGTGAGACTGTTTATGGTATCACAGTGTGACATTTTATGGTATTACAGTGTGACATGGTATCACAGTGAGACTGTTTATGGTATCACAGTGAGACTGTTTATGGTATCACAGTGTGACATGGTATCACAGTGACAGTTTGTGGTATTACAGTGTGACATAGTATTACAGTGTGACAGTTTATGGTATCACAGTGTGACATCTTATGGTATCACAGTGAGACATGGTATCACAGTGAGACAGTTTATGGTATCACAGAGACATCTTAGGGTATCACAATGTGACATGGTATCACAGTGAGACAGTGTATGGTATCACAGTGTGACATGGTATCAGAGTGTGACATCTTTTTGGTATCACAGTGTGACATGGTATCACAGTGAGACATCTTATGGTATCACAGTGTGACATCTTACAGTATCACAGTGTGACAGTTTATGGTATCCAGTGTGACATCTTATGGTATCACAGTGAGATGGTGTATGGTATCCAGTGTGACAGCATGGACTCCTCACCTTGCCCACAGTAGTGTCCTCATCATGATGCTCACAAGTCTGCAGGATCTTATCTGATGAACAAGTCCTGACCCTATCCTAAACTAAGACAGTGACCAGCTAGGGGTCTGGTAGGGCAGGGATTGGGGGTCCAGGTAGAAGCAAGCCAAGGGGGAGCAGCAGGAGGGACTGAAGGGGCGCACACGGTGAGCTCTGGCTCAGAAGGGGCACGCTGCTGCCCTTCCTCCTGCATCTCTGGTGTGGCATTAGCTGCAGCAGTCTCCAGTGCATGGGAGGCAAAGGCTGTGCCTGCACCCAGCAAGGCGGCCCCAGCACTTGAGCTGGGCAGAGAGGGAGTGGGCACAGAGCAGCTCTCCTGGAACACTGGGCTTGCGTTATTGGAGGCAGCCTAGCTGTGGAGTCTGGGCTGCCTTGTGGGGGGCGGGTGAGCAGGAGAGACAGGAGGTCAAGCCTGGCCCCCAGAGTCCAGGACATCCACTCAGCACATCCACCTCCAAGAGCCTCCTCCTCGGGTCCCGGCATTCCAGGGAGCAGCGGTTGGAGCAAGAAGCCCTACGGCAAGAGGGTGAGGCGGCAGAAAGGCTGCTGGCTCTGAGTGTCCTTTGCCCTTTCTTCCCTCTCCTCCTGTTCTCAGCTGATAATTTGCAGGAGGGCCCCACCGCAGGTGAGGTCTGGCTCGGAGCTGTCAGAGCACCCTGAGGGCACTTGCAGCAAGTCTGCATCATGAACTGCATTCTGAGGTCTGCACGTGAAGCACCCCAAACGGTGGCTTTATTCATATCCAGTCTGTGGTGGTTTTCCTTTTACGTTCTGGGCAGCACTGGGGATTGAACTTGGAGCCTAGTGCCTGCTTGCTGCTCTTGTCATCTGAACCATGCCCCCCAGCCCCCTGTGCCTAGGTGGTTTTTAAGGCAGGGCACTGCGTTACGCCGTTACGACGCCCAGGCCAGCCTGGGCTGGAACCTCATGCCCAGCCCGCATGCTCTCCCCATCTTGGGATAATGGCTATGTGCTCAGGTGCTGGTTACTGTCCTGCAAACTTTTTGAATTGCCATGGGAATCTACAGAGATCAGCATCCCTGGGGTGGCACGCCTGACCCGTACTTGTTTCCAGAGCAGCCTGCATGACCCTGGCTGGCTGGTGCTGAGCTCTGCCACTGGGTTTGTCCACCAGGGATTTCCACCACTGTCCAGTCATGTCTGGCCCTGGCGGCAGCCCGGCCTTGACGTGGGGGTGAGGCCTGGTACCAGGCGTTTGTTACTCACATTCAGCACACAAAACGTTTAGATGGGGAAGAGTGGTCTCCCTCGGAGGCCCTGTGGCCTGCTAGGAGGACTGTGTTCATGGAGGACAGCATGGGGTGTTCATGGGCCTGGGATTGCCCAGGTGTGGACTCCTGTTAGAGTGGCCATGGGGGACCGGGCAGGACGCTGACCACCTGGTCTCACCTTGAATGGCCAGCGAGGCGGTTCCCAGTGCTCCCAGCAGAGGGCAGCAGAGCTTGCCGGTGGCATTCCTGCTTCTGGGGACAAACGGGACCCAGCCTCAAATCAGGCTGGGACAAAGCTAAGAAATAAACAAATCAACTGTAGGAGATGCTCTT